GCTGGGTGTGGAGCCTACTTTAAAAAGGTAAAAATAAAAATAAACAACCAAACAAATAAAACATGGAGCAATAAACAGCTTTATCCCCCACCCCCACCCCAACTCATCACTTAGTGCCCTTTCAAACCAGCTCTGGGGCATGTGTCCTTCCTTTCCTCTCCAGGAGCTCTCTGACCGGTCCCATGATTGTTCCAATTATTCTCATTAATTCATTTATTTAAATACCTCTTGAGCATCTCTCATTTGCCAGGTGTGGATGATACAGTGAGAAACAAAACATAAAGCATAAACCATTCTTCAAAGCTTCATAATATAATGGTAACAAGTGACCTAGAGAAATGGGAATAAAGAGTAACTTGAATGTGGAGGTGATTTTATGTGGGCTGTCTGGGAAAGTACCTCTGAAAGGTGAGATCTGAGAATGGAAGGAGTCAGTAAGCCAGGAGAATATGTGTGTGGATGAAAAGTATTCCAGAGCAAACTGCAAATGCAAATCTCTATGGAAGGAGTGGACTCTGTGTGTTTTTGGAGCCTGTAACTGACAGAGGAAAATGACATCGAGGAGGGATCAGGGCCAGATCACAAAGGGCCTTACATGTCAGGTTAAAAAGTTTGGACCTTTCTATGAGAGAAAAGGGAAGCAGTTGGACAGTTCTGAGTACAGGGATGACAAGGTCTGACTTTCATTTTGACAAGATCACCCTCAGCTACTGTGTTGAAAAATGGACAGTAGAGGGCAAGAACTGAAATAAGAGGACTATCATTAAGAGGCTTTTAAATGAGTACAGGTGAGAAATGATGGCAACTTAGCGGAGTGTGTCAATGATGGGTACATTAGGAAGTAGCCAGATTCCTGTTATCATTTGCAGATGGGGCCAACATGATTTCCTAATGAATTGGATAAAGGACGTCAGAGAATAACTCAAGAATGACTTCAGAGTTTTCTGAAATGAACACCTGGAGGAAGATAGCTGCTGTATACTGAGAGAGAAGAAGACCAATATAGAAACAGGTCTAGCGGAAAGACTGATATCAAGAGTTAAGTTTTGGCCATGAGAAGCCAGTGAATATCCAAGGGAATAAGTTGAATCTATAGTAAAGTATATGCAGGGTTCAGATGAGTGGTCTAGGAATAGGATAGACGTCAACTGTAGTTATAAATGATATTTAAAGCCTTGAACTCCTATGAAATGAGTATAGTTGGGAAGGTAAGTGCAAGGATCAAACTCCAGAGCACTTCAGAATTTAGAGGAAACTTGGGAAAGCTGCATAGACTAAGAAGAAATTTGCCAATGTTTAGAAGTCATCTGTGACCTTGAAAGAGAAGTTTGTGAGGCATAATATGGATGAAAGTCTAGCTGATGTGGGACTCAAAAGAGAATGAGCTGGCAGATAGGGACAGGGCTTCTGTGTTTTGCTGTAAAAAGAAATAGAGAAAAAGTTTTCTAATAGCTGTAGTTGTAAAAAGGTAACATTCCAGCATTAGACTTTCATTCTGTGTATGATGAAATACTCCCAGTTCTGGCCCATGTTAGCCTTGGAAAGGCTTTGGTGGGACAAGAGGGTATGGTTGATGTCACTCTCCTGCCTATATCTACTATTCCACTCCATTAAATAAACTGCTCCTAGGTTCCAGGGGGTGAAAAAGGAAGCGAGGGGAAAAAAGGAGTTGTAAGAGAAAGAAGAGATGATACTGGACCAGCAATAATGGGCTCTGATTTTGGTCTTCTTAGAACATGGCATATTTGGAATTCAGCCTTGAAAAATGTTCACATTTAGTCCCCATCCCTTCACCTTCCACTCCTGCCTTGGGATAAGGTCTGGTTTCCTAAATTCAGATAATGTCTCCTTTAGCTTGTCTTTTATGAATATTTTCTTAGTACCTAAGTTTTGAGCAGTTTACTCCAGACAAATTCTTTTGAGCCAGCTTCCCATCAAGTGACTTTCTTTGAACTAAGTTTGTTTAGGACCACAGGATGAACAAGATCTGTGTAGCTTTGCTCTTAAATATCTTGGGGAAAGCAGACTTTTCCTAATGTCAGCCTTCTCCTTGTTCAATCATCAGAAGAGCTAGGCAGCCAGGCAGTCTTAACCTTCTAGACTTTTCAAGGCTGGGGTGTAAAGCCAAGGTTACCTTCTGCTAACCTGGTCATTTTCTTTGTTACATAATTTTCCAAGGGCAAATTGAAAAGTTCTGTGGAGGATGAACTGAATACTGATAACTTATTTAGTGCATACTATGACAAGTACTGTTCTAGAACCTTTATTCATATTAATAACTATATTGCTCAGAGTATCTCTTTGAGGTAGAAATCCATTTTATGCACAAAGAGACAAAAGGGATAGATAGATAGATAGATAGATAGAAGGACAGATAGATGATAGATAGAATCTCCGCTTTTAAAGTCAGAAGAAATTCTTGTTTGGTTGATTTTCTAGACTTTTACTTATATTTTAGGCAAATTCCTATATAATATTGAAATGCAAGTATAAGCAAGATGTACATTACTTAAATGAATTCTTATTTTGTAATTCTATTAAATAAATATATTTTACAAAATTAAGAAAAAGCATATATTAGAAAGATAATGGAAAAGTATAATGAAATATAGCACTTTTATTTGCAGTCTAAATTCAAGGTATCAAAATATCATGTGAGTCACCTCAGAGGCCAGTATTATGCTAATATCTTGTACACTTTAGCAAGTAGATGTTCTGGCTTCAAACTGTTTATCCTTTAGGCTTATCTCCTGAAGAACACTAGATGGCCCTTCCGTAGGAAATGCTGCCAACATTAGTAATGGCCTATCATAAAAAATAAGCAAGCAAAAGTAAATAAAGTCAATTCAGCTATCTTCCTCCAAACCTTCAAAGCTTATATCAAAAATTCACAACCAGATACTATTCTTAAAGCAGGAAAACATGGAAGTGTCCAGGAGCAAGCAGCAAGTATAGTGTGACACTTTACCTTTTCCTGTAGAAAGTCTCTCTAGGTCAATGTCAGTGTCAGAGTCTCCTCAACAGCTTATTTAAAATGCAGAAGGTCATTACCCATTTCTGGAGACTTGAAGTCTTGAGGTCCAGAGTGGGGTCAAGCTGTTCCCTAGTTGATTCTAATTTTGACGTTTACTGAGGATGTCTAGCAACTAGAATAATTGTTCTCAAAACTTCAATTTTCTCTGTATCATCTACATGAATACCATTTGGAGGTTTAATAACATTATTTCTTGAAATAATCTTTTCATTATTATTTTCTATATATTTTTCACTATATATAGTATATATATATTATATCTATATCTATCTATCTATATATATAATATAAATTGACAATAGATAAGATAGATAGACTCTTATATACCTAGGTTACAACTGATGGAACATTTCATTAGCCATTTCACGGTTTTGTATGCATGCATTCACAGTTTTGGATTGCCGGCTAAAACACCATTAAAATTCAGCATATGCCTCTCCCATAAAGTACTGCAGTATAAATGATTTACATTTAACAGTTCAAAAAATAATGTTTCAGAGTATCAATATTTCCAATGAGGTGTTATAAAAGACCATGCTGTTAACTACAAGAATATTGAATAGTAGAGGAGTATTAATATCACTGTACATAATAAAGAAGAAATGGCTTTTCTTATATAAAACCATGAGAAGACATGGAGAACATGTAAAGTAAGACACTAATCTGGTATTTGAAATTTACACTGAGTCTTGAAGAATGAAAGCTGATTTGGAAATTTGGAGATCTGATCAGGATGTTAAAGAGGGAAAGAGAAATAAAACACCTTAGCAGAAGACAAGTATAAAGTTGAAATGTTACCTTAGTACCTGAACTTCTATAGAAAGACACATTAGCTAAAACCCAAAAACATAATCTAATTAAGTGTTGTGACACTTAACTTTAAAATGTTGATCAGTTAATAAACTTAATTTGTAAGTACTTGGAATGTAGTAGGTAAAGACCCACTGCAGGGAGACAAACTATAAAATATGTGTGGCTGATCCATTTAGTCATCATCCTTCATGATTATCAAGAAAATGTGCTCAAGTTCATTTGTGACTAATTGGCAAATCCTCATTACAAAACAAAAAATATCCTTCCATTTTGAAAAACATCCTTCACTGACTTTTTACTGGAACCAATTGCTTCTCTATCCTAAAATCTTTTTTTTTTCTTTTTGGTCAAAGGGAAGCTTGCTTGACTGCTTTTCCCCCCCTGCTGTGCTTAAGAACAAAAGCAACAAAAAATGATCAATATGGCAATCAAGATAATTCAATAAAACACTTTTTCATTTGTCTGCCACTAGGGACTGCCACAGAGACCCCCACTACAAGAAAGACAACAGAGGAGGAAACTCTAAGGCAATGTTTGAGTTAATTTGCCAGTTTTAACACTTCTTTAGAAAAATGCGGTCCTTTGGTTCAGATACACAGTTCATAGTGCCATCAGTTGGAGCTGTGCACAGATACACAGCAAGAAAATGTCTCCTTTCAGGTTAACTTGGTTTTAAACTCACAATGTGAATTCTCTATTTGAAATGTAGCTAGCTTCATCTAGTCTAAATTGGGGAAATGTATCATTGTCTCTTTTTGCCTCAGGCCAGGACTGGAAATGAGATGTTTCATTTCAGTGCATTTTTTCCCAGTTGAAATTGTGTAAATAAATAGATTGGGAAAGATTTAATGAAATCATCAATAGCCTGGAGCCATCTATTGGCCCCATGCTAAGCATTTGGCATAATCAACTGTCTAAGAGATTGAAAGTCCTACGTACTGGGATTTAAGGTTATCATCAGCTCAGAGAAGAGGAAATCTAGGAAAGGTTTGGCACAGTATCTTCATATACATGAATTAGGTCAAATGAAGTGATAAGTGATCCAGGGCACGTTAACCAATAAAAAGAAATCATCTGGATAATTCAAATATTAAAATTCATATTTTAACAGTAAAGAAAAGCTAGATAAAAATTCAAGAGAACTTACTTTTCTTCTGATTTTGTTAACAACTGGTTACCTTTAGATAAGCCACATGATTTCTCTATGCTTCAGTTTCCTAGCAGGAAAAAATGTGGTTAAAAAAGGACTTTTACCCTGAACATTAAGGATTGCGGACACAACAAAGTAATAAAAAATGGATCTGAGCACTTCATCCTTGCATCAACTGGAACAGTATCACATTTTTCTACTGCATCTTGCAATTGCAATTGCTATAAACTGTTTGAAAAATTAGTAGTCCGAAGAGGATTTCTAAAGTGATCTCCAGCTCTGATGATAGTACAGGTATTTGAGATAAGATATGTAATTCTCAAGTCTGCCATTAGTAACCTCTGTAAACATACTTCTGTAATGCAAGGATTTTCTTCAACACCAATTTACATTGGAGGACATGACTAAAAGGGAATGAAGGGAGGGAATACAGTGGAGATATACCATAAGGTATGTCACTGTGTTAGAAGATAAAGAGAAAATCAACATGAGCATTTGTATGCATTCAGAAAGAAGCAGAAAAGAATGCTATTTGATACCACTTGACAATATTTGGTAATCTTTTCATTTAATGGGATAGAAAAGAAAGTGTATATGTGAAAGTGAGAAAGCATTACTTCTGTAGTGCTAATAAGTCAAATTATTTCTAGAGCAATCTATTAGATATACATAAACCATATCTATTTATAATGATCTTAAGAAACTCCTGGACTAATGTTTTTCATCAGATGGAATGTCACTTTATTGAATAATATTTGAAAGCCATGAACTTTTGTCAGAAATATTTCATTGTTGCACAAAGATTTCATTGGAATAAAATTGTATATACATTCAAAGAGAGGGGCGCCTGGGGGGCTCAGTCAATTAAGCGTCTGGCTTTGGCTCAGGTCATCATCTCATGGTTCAGGAGTTCAAGCCCCATGACAGGCTCTGTGCTGACAGCTTGGAGCCTGGAGCGTGTTTCAGATCCTGTGTCTCTCTCTCTCTCTCTATGCCCTCCCATGCTTGTGCTCTATCTCTCACAAACAAATAAACATAAACAAAATTCAAAAAAAGAGAGAATGTAAAATTCAGACATTTACTTTTCTAAATGAAGAAAGGAAATTAAATGTCATTCTATTGAAAAATATTGCATTTTATGACATTTTGACAAGGTAAAGAAAACTAGAATTATATGGTACTTCGTTTATTCTATTTCCAGCATATTGGATGGGAAATATTTTTAAAACAACCTAACCCTTGACTGGAATCTTGAAAATAGTATTCTTCTCAAATATTCTGTTTGTTTTGGGAAATATTTTATAAAAAGAAATGAGACCCTTTTGGAAAACAATTCATGCCTAAACTTTTCATTCATTTTCACATATTCTCAGTAACTAAAATGGTATAGAAGAATCCTCCTTCTTGGCTACTTTGACTGCTCTTCTCAGTGATGGCAAAAGGTCATATGGTTTTATAAGGGTACCCATGTAAGCACAATGATTGTGTGTTGCTGAAAATAATTAAAGATGGCCAAAGTATTGATTTATTTAACCAAGTCAATCAAACATTAAGATATATTATAAGACCAACCAGAAGTGAAACTTTGTTTCTAGGCGCTTGTACCCAGAAAGATTTCACGTCACTTTGTGAGAAAGAGCTAACTTCCATTTTATCAATTCCCAAGATTAATGTGGGTGGGCAAAAAAAAGGGGGGGCTTTTAGAAAAATCTCTAATTAGAACATGTTACAGGACTCTGTGAATCTTGAACAGCTCATTGAGGAAACATAGTAAGCCAAATGAAACACTTAAATATTTAAGGCTATTAAAAGGCAGGTATAGTAAACTAAATACATAAAACATGATTACAGTTAGGTATAGGAAAGAAAAATAAAGTATTTACCTGAAAGCAAAGAGGTACAGTAAGACCATGTTACCTAATAGTAATTTCCCACACAGTTGAGGAGTACACATGGTCATTTTCTAGTCAGCAAGAGCTTCATTTTGTCTTCTTGGAGTCAAAAGATTGTGACCATCCTTGGTTGTTGTGTTGTTGGCCGTTCAGAAATGTTATGTCTCACATTAGCTGAGCAGTTAGAAAGTCACCAGATGAAATAAAGATTTAAAGTATTGTGACACATCAGTAGATTAAGATAATAAACTTGCCAAATATTTCAAAAGTTAGATATGAACCGGGGTGCCTGGATGGCTCAGCCAGTTAAGCGTCTGACTTCAACTTAATGATCTCACAGTTTGTGGGTTCGAGCCCTGCGTCAGACCCTGTGCTAATGGCTAGCTCGGAGCCTGGAGCCTGTTTCAGATTCTGTACCTCCCCCTCTCTCTGACCCTCCCCTGCTCGCTCTCTCTCTCTCTCTCTCTCTCTCTCCTCTCTCTCCTCTCTCTCTCAGAAATAAATAAAACATTAAAATTTTTTTTTTTAAAAAGTTAGATTTGAACCAAGAGGGAACAGCTAGAAGATAAAAACCAAAACCAAATTCGTAGTAAATGCACTGGTGTAAATCCATATATAGGGTTACTATTCTCTCTTCTGGATATATTGTAAATATTTTACACTTTGAGATGGTTGGAGGTGTATTTCAAAAGAGAATTAGATTACTGATTAAAATGTTAAGAAACTAGTCTCATGTATGACGCTATAATATTCTTCTGACTAACGACTAAACTGGCTTTCTTTTCCTCCCACTCACCTCACTCCACATAGGATGCACACATTTTGAGTTAGAATCACATCTTACTGATGTACTCCCAAAATGAGAGAAGAGGATTTTCCTTCCCTTAGTTGAGTCAGTCTCTAAGGCAGATGGTTAATTCATTGCACCTGTAACCAATTAGCCATTCAAAACAACTGATTCTTCACAGTAAATTGTTGGCTTGCCAATCTGAGAAGCAGGTGCATATTCAATGGCTAAATAATCCAAATACAAAATTCTTTTAGATTAATGTGCAGAAAAATATGACCAGTTATAATAATTCCATTCTAAATTAAGAATTTAATTATTTCAGGTTTTGAATTACGGCTTTGAAAATTTTCTTTTTTTTCATTCTGATATTTGGCTACCAAATTAACCAGATGTTTTTTCAATGAAAATTAACTTTCTTTTTCCAATAAGACTGAATTTTATTTTTCTTCTTTCTTGAAACAATGAATTTTGATTACAATAAGCATATTGAAACATATTACATTATATAGTAATTCATCCAAATCATCTGTTTCAAAAGAGTTACCTTTATATGGACGATTTAACTCCCAACCCAGGTACCATAACTAACTCCATAGAACTGGGTACAGCATAGCCCCTCTGGTGTGTTAGACACTGAGAATGTCTGGAGATTGTTCTATCACTACAGTGCCAACATCACAGACTTTCATAGACTTGAATTATTTTATTCTAAAAAACTAATAAAATTTTTCACATTTCTCAGATATATTATTTGAATATGGGAAAGGGATACGGTGACAATTTATCTAGGCTGCAGATGCCTAAAGCATCAAATCTAAACATCCCAACTTCTGGCTTCTCTCTTCATCAGAATCATGGTATGATAAGGAATCACTCCCAAGAGGAATATCAGACCCCCTATATAGTTGGCACCAGGATCTCACATGTTCCCATTCCAGGAATCAGCCTGCAGGGGACATAAAGGAGGAGACTACGAACACATTTCTAAAGTTAATAAGAAATCTCCAAACACCTCAACCATAAGTTTCACACAAGGAAGAGATTCTGTGTGATAGGGTATAGAACTCTGACTGCATAATTGTAGGAGAGCATCACAATCCTACCAGACACCCAGGTTGGAATAGCTCCCTTTGCACATCCCAAGTGTCTCCAATCCTTTGGATAGTAATTTCTATATGTTTCCCATGATTTTCATTCTTATTGACACTATTCTTATGCCCTTGTTTTCCAACTGATTCACTGATACTATTCACACATTTTTTTCATTTACTTACCCAATAAATATCCATTAAGTATCTACCAGGGGCCAGGCACAAAAAATAAAATGGTAAATGAAGAATAAGGCAGAAAAGATACCTGTTTTAATGGCCTTGATGGCCTAAGGCAGATACTGACAAATTGATATTTACAATTTAGACCTAATCCAGACCTGAGGATCATTAAAGCTTCCTGGAATAAATGAATGTCTAAGCCAAAACCTAGTGGTAAGCCCCTTCTCTAACTGAGCAAAGAGAGAGGGAATAACTTCCCAGGCAAGGGGAATAATCTGTTTCTTGACTCTTGACTCTCAGTGTCAACCTTCACAATGCTTGCTTACAGATTTATGTCCTTAAAAATAAGTTCAGGCCATGGCCACCCACTGTAGATTCCCTACAGTCTGAAGAATTACAAGCCTAAGATTAAGTTTCCAGTTTCATCTTCTCCAACAAAGAGCACGATAGTGCAATTTCACTATATTAGTATTTTGCTGAAAAATAGGAACAGTTAACCTATTTTGTTGTTTGCACTATGTCCTTATACTGCAATGCCTCACACCATAATGCTTCCCCTATCACTTGAAATCCTACTTATCTTGAAATATCTGTTAAAACATCATCTTCTCTGTTAAGTTTTCTGTAGCCCCTTCATTCATAATTAGTTCTTTATTTTTCTGAAATTCCACTGCCTGTTCTTCGCTCTTCTGTCATATAGTGCCTGTTTTAGTCTGTTTCATATGGCAGTTCTTTGTTTATAGCTGAAGCTTAGGCTATCCTTGCCACATGGAAGGTCCGACCCGACCCTTTTACAATTCCTACTTCCTATTCAAGACTAGAAATCTTCTTCCCTGTTAGCTGCTTTCCCGCCACTGTGAAAACAGAATTGCCCAGAATTTCCTGTCTCCCTGCGGGTAGCCAGGGTAACTAGATACCAGACATGGCATTGGTATTTCTATCAGCAACCCCCTTAGCACCTAGAATTCAACCTTGCTTATGCTTTATTTCTTCTCTCCTCCCTAGTGCTCTAAGCTTCCTCATATCACTTTTCCTTTCCACTCTCTAGTATTCTGGATGGACTCCCACTTAGAATCAGGGCACTTACTGCCATAGGAGAAAGAAAACTATACTACAAATATGACCGAGCTTTCAAAAAGATGGATTTGCCTCTAATAAATTATGAACTTTAAAAAATTTCCTACAGAGAGATTTGATTTTTTAAATTTAAAGCTCATTAGATAAGAAAATCACACTAAGCTAAAGCAAATTTGTTTTTTGTTTTTGTTTTGTTTTGTTTTGTTTTTCTTCTAACATTCTTCCACTCTCCAATCTTATCCCTTAGATATACCCTAATATTTAGAGTTGTCACAGGGAACCATTTCTAGGGTTGTGTGGACATCTTCATCTCAGACTTGGGTGAGGATTTTAATATTTGAAAAGAACCAACTCCTGGTCATAATATCCCCTTTAAAGTTGCACCCCAAAATACCAGGTGCCTTTTGTAATGTGAATTCCTGGGAATCCTAGGATTTTTGATGCCCTGGAGTTGTTGATGTAGGCTCTGGTTACACACATCTCCCTCTACAACTAGATTATGCCTAATTCTATTTTGCAAGTATCTCAACCCTGTGGAAATCTTGCCTAAGATGGTGCTTTGTTCACAGTGGGTACCTAATAAATGCATGCTGAATTTAATTTCCCAGGAACAAACATATGGCATAGATGACTAAAAAGTGAAAATCCTCTATAACATATTGCATTGCCATATAAGGGGGGGGGGGGGAATCTTGTTAATGTTCATGGTGACAAGTTTATGTCCTGAAACATGAGATCTGATTAGCTTTTTTATTTTAGCTCTCATAGCTACTAGTTTTATTGCTGGTCATAAAATTATCCAGCTCATTTTGGAATTCAGCTGCAAAATAGAACACTTTGACCTCCTGTGATTATACCAGTTTTTGTGAACATATGACTTCATGGCAGGGGTCTTACTCAAACTAGGGTGTGGTAACCTTAGGAGGTTATGTTGAAGAAGTCTCATAGGGGCCTTGGGGGTGAGAACACTTTGGGTGCAGTTAACAGTGTAGAGTCGTTGTTGGTGTTTTTTTCTCAAGATCTTATCTTGTTAATTGGGATCTTATAGTCCTAATGGCAAGATCATGGATTCAGTTTTTTAAGTTTCTTCCTCATCCTTGGGCTGCACCCCTAAACTGTAGTCCACAGATACCCATCCTTCACTAAGAACATCACTAAAACATGTCACACAGGAGCACCGACTTGAAAGCCCATCAGTAATTTATTTCATGTGTATGTTTTGAGCGCTTGATAAGTGTTCTGAGCTTATTCTGTAGATAAGAAACTAGCAGCAACGCTCTAGGATTAAAACACAAGAACTTTTAAGGGTAGGGATTGACACTGCTAAGATATTTTTAGGGTCTAACTCACTGCCTATCAGATCTATGGCCATTTTTAAAAAAAAATGACTGAAGTATAATGAACATACAGTGTTACATTAGTTTCAAGTGTACACTATAATGACTCAACGATTCTGCACATTTCTTAGTGCTCATCAAAATCAGTGTATTCTTAATCCTTTTTTTGTTCACCCATCCACCCAATATATGACCAATTTGAGAGAAAATCAAGCACTGGGAAGTATCTGTACCCTAGGTTGAGGTCAGCTGCCTTGATCAAGAGAAATAAAGGGCAATTGGAGTCTCTAGGCTTATTTTAGGTCAATTCACTTTACCAGGCACCAGGACTCTAGGGTCTGGTGACCATAAAATGGAGTTTAACCTACCGTTTAAAACAGATTGTGTTAGGGGCACCTGGGTAGCTCAGTTGCTTGAGCATCTGACTCTTGATTTTGGCTCAGGTCATGATCTCTGGTTCATGAAGCTGATTCCCACCTCGACCCACTCTCCGTCAGACTATACACTGGGTATGGAACCTGCTTTAGGTTCTCTCTCTCTCTCTCTCTCTCTCTCTGTCTCCCCCTTTGCCCCTCTCCATGCTCTCTCTTAAATAAATAAATAAATAAATAATAACAGATTGTGTCCTCTACTTTATGAAATGGGAAAGGAATTGGTTTTCCATCCATGACTCCTGGCACAAATATTGGGGAAGTGGTGGCAAATTATCCCAACAAGTAGTGAGAGCAAGTTGCCACCATTCCATACTAAGAATTGCATAGAGGTTTCCTACAAAATCGGAAAGCTTTGATTTATAAAAGGATATATTCATGGGGCTAGAAAAACAGGTTTGGGAGGGTAAGGACAGCCAGTGCTAGAGGAATCAGGCAGAGCTCCAATTACCAAAGTTTTTTCACTGGTAAGGGAAGGAAGCAAAGAAAGAATGATTCTATTCAGTTTCTCCCTTAATACCAATAGGGACAATGGGGGATGTGTCACTGTCTTTTCTTAGAATCTGCTCAGATCTGCCCCAGCTTTGCCAGCCAAGCTTACTACAGGCTCTAGTGAATAAAGAAAAGGTATTCTTCACTGAAAGACGTAATGTGTAGTAGGATTACTGGGTTTTACACCATAGGCCACTTTTCGTGAAAGCTTCTTTCTTTCAGCTATGTGAAAAATGATATGGACACTAAAGATTTTTTCCATCTTTAAAGGTAATTACTTTCATTGGGTTTTGTTTTTGTATATCTAAATCAGGCCTCCTTCATTTCTGCCCTGTGTTCTTAAGAACACAAGCAATCTCAGGGATAAATCATGAATTTAGGATTACAGAGCAGACACGCATGCACACATGCACACACTAATACTCACAGACACACAAAGATCTGATGCTTTATTATTGTAAAGAGCTCTTTGTCATACATACCTGTCTTTTACCAGATTTTGCCAATTAAGATTGATTCTCTGCCACATTTAGATATAGAAAGGTTTAACTTATTTTTTTTTTCCTATGACATTACCCCTCTCACTGATATGATCCAGAACTGAAATAGAA